TAGAGTTTTCAAATAATTTTAGCACAATGATAGGCGGGGTGTTACATAGTGGTCTTTTACAAGGTCTCCCCATAACTGAGTGGAAATGGGAGCACATGACCATGGATTTCATCACGGGTTTGCCAAGAACCAGCTCCAATCGTGATGCCATATGGGTCATTGTGGACAGACTGACCAAGTCCGTCCACTTTCTTGCAAGTAAGACTACTGACTCGACCAATAAGCTGGCTCAGTTATACATCGAGGAGATTGTCTGATTTCATGGCTTTCTATTTCTGTGGTGTCAGATATGGATCCTCGTTTCACCTCTCACTTTTGGGATAGCTTCTAAGAAGCTCTTGGCTTTAGCCTCTACTTCAGTACTGTTTATCGGTGCCCAAACTGATGGGCAATCTGAGTGTATTATCCAGACATTGGAGGACATGTTATGCGCGTGTATACTGGACTTTGGTGGTAATTGGGATATGTACCTTTCCTTTTACAAGTATGCTTATAACAATAGTTACCACTCTAGTATTAGCATGGCTCCATTTGAAGCTCTTTATGATAGGCCTTGTCGATCACCGATATGTTGGAATGAGTTTGGGAATAGGTATGTCCTTGCGACGAAATATGTTCAAGAAATTGTCGACATGGTTGCTGTCATTCGGAAGAATCTCGTCATTGTATAAAGTCACTAGAAGAGCTATGCTGACATCCGAAAAAGATCTTTGGAGTTTGCTGCTGGTGACCACGTCTTTCTTAAGGTCTTTCCATACAAGGGAAATATGTGGTTCGAGAACAGAGAAAAGCTTAATCATCTTTACATTAGACCTTTCGAGATCCTAGAACATGTAGGCCCTATAGCATACCATCTCGTCCTACCCAAAGAATTTCATGGCCTTCACAATATTTTTCACGTCTCCGTGCTTAAAGGATACCATCTTGACCTTTCCTACATCATTTCCTATCAACAGATTTTCTTCAACTCGAGCATGACCTATGTGGAATACCTGACAGAGATTGTCGATTGAATGGAGAAAATTCTATGCAACAAAAGAATCTCGATAGTTAAGGTACTATAACGACATCACACGCTGAAGGAAGCAAGAAGGAACTTGCGAAAGACATGCAAGAGAAGTTTCCTGAGTTGTTACGAAGAAAATTGCAAATTTGGAGGACCAAATTTATTTGAGGTGGGAAGAATGTAACACCACGAGGCCTCTACGCTTAAACATGATGCTAAAAACTCCATTTGGGCCTTAATGTTACTTATATTTAATATTTTGCATATATTTTATAATGCTTTTAAAACTAACTCGTGTTTTAGAAAAATTTTAAAATATGTGCACATAGTTTTTTAGTATTTTTAGGAAAGAGAGAGAAAAACAGTGAAAAATCAGAACAGTGAAAGATAGGAAAAATCCCAGGAAAAATTACAAGTGACTACACAACCCTACACATCGGCAGGGCATGACACCCTTGTCGCACAAGTCCCATTGTGGCAACCTCTCCTTTGCTGCCACGTGACACGCATTCGATGGTTCCCAAAAATTATAAATTTTGCCCCTCCCCCTTATTTTCCACCCACTCACATCTTCCTTTCTTCTTACATCTATTTTAGAGAGAGAAAATGGAGTTTTAGAGAGAGAAAGTAAGGAAAAAGTTTCTAGGAGTCATTATAGGAATTCTAGATGTAAAACACCCTTTCTATCCACTTCTAGGAATTTGGTTATTCGCCAAGTGTCGGTAAAGGATCTTGTATTTCTGTTTATACCTCTAAGTGCTCTTTTTAGATAAATTAACTAAACTATGATGATGCATGATATTATTTGTTATATTATCTGATTTTAACAACATGTGTATTATATTGCACTACGTTGATCTATTTTGTATTCGTTGAATATGGATATGATGGGCCTTATGTCGAAATAAGTTTAACAAACTCACTAGTTCTGTATTTCTTTTAATACTTTGTGAATATTTTATAATGTGTGTATAACCATTTAGATTTATTGCCAAGTGTTAATATTGAAATATAACTCTTTATGTATATGAAGTTCATGGCTAATGCTAGCAATATGTTCATGGCAGATATACCAATAATTTATCTTAGAATGTCATAAAATCTTTATAATACAGATATGGATCAAAAGGGCATTAAAGAAAAGCATGAAGAAGATATTATTATGCTAGCTGGTCCAATCACAAAATTTCAAGCCAAGAAATTAAAATATACATTTCAAGACTTTGTACAAAGATAGATACAACAAGAATTTAGTACATGTAAACTATTTAAAAAATCAAATAAGTAAAAAAAAATTATTAATTTTGTCCAAGTGTGTGGGCAGAATTTAGAATGAATGTTCAGGATTATTTTGGTCATTTTTTAGATAATTAAATTATGTTCATGTTTTCTTAAGTTATTTAATATTATATTTTTCTATGTCATTTAATATAATGTTTCCCTAGATCATTTAATACTATGTTCTTCTAGGTCATTTAAATTATATACATGTTTCCTAGGTCATCTAATTATGATCTTTTGACAGAATCTAGGTGTTTTAGTCTATAAATATATCATTTTGTAATGTAATATGACTTATTTCGATTATTGAATGAATTTCTTTACATTTAGTAGAACTTTGACAAGTGAGAATTCTTATTCTTCATGTTGCATCAAGAATTGAATTAACTTATTAAGTTATCTTGTGACGTTTATTCATTATTGCTTCTTTCATCCCAATCACCCAAATTTTTAATTATAGGTTAGTTGTGAGTTTGGTAGGGAGGATTTATTTAGGGTTCTAAGTTATCTATACTAGATATATTTGTGGAATTCTGGATATAATCTTTGATTCTCGGGTTCTGCATCACTTTATGTGTAATAATTATCATGAAATAAGGTTGTTGATAAATATACACTGATTTTGATGAATTAACGAAATTCTTAATTTATTTTAATGTTATTATAAGTTTTTTCATGAATATATGCAACAAAAATTGAAAAAAGAAGGATTGAAGAAAAAATAAAAGATACTATTAAATGCAATTTTCATTTTTAAATCTTCATGTAACTAAGAAATTTTTCAAATTTTGGCTCAAGATTACTTTTAAAAAGTAATTTGAGATTTTGATTAGACAATATTTTTTATAAAAAATAAAAATTATTTTTCACATTAAGGAAAAATGGAGTGTGATGCAAAGAATTATTATATGTTACTATGCCATACAATTAAAACTTTCGAAATAACATATGTATGATATAAAAAGTTTATCCACATGAGAATTTAACCATCCTTTTAAAGCTTTCATTTAAAATGTGAAAAGCTATTATGTGAAAAATATATTTACATATATGCATCACATTACTACATGAATTTTTCTAAATTTATTAAAAAATATTTCGTATCTTTAATTTTTTATAGTTTTACTTCATAAAATTTTTAAAACATAAAAAATTTTACATTTTTTCTTCACATAGTTTTTGTTATATAAATTTTCTAATAAAAGATGTAAAAAAATATTTTATACATTATTTTTACACTGATTCAGTGTTATATAAACATATTTAAAGATATAATATAAAAAAGTGTGTCATGTATCACGTTTTCAAATCATTTTCTATATTTTCGGTTTTTAAATATATATGAAGGAGTGACATGAAGATACCATATAACTACCACTTGAAAAATGTATGTAAATAGTTATCTAATGAATGAGGTATTTTCTAGATTTGTGTTTTGTAAGAATTATGTATTTGATTTTTATTTTGTGTTGTTCAAACTTAATTTTAAAATTTCAAAAATTTTAAAGGATAAAAAATAAAAAAAAATAATAATTTATTTCAAAACAAATTAAGGTCACAGATTGTGGGGGATTTTTGCCCCCATACCCCAGCCCCAAGGACTGTGCCCACGGATAGCCTTCTCCTATGAGCGGTGGCTTGCTCGCATATCTGGTTGGGTTGTGAATTGACACCACTAACCCAGCCTTCAAGTGGCATTTTGGCCACCTAACAGAGGGAACCTAGCTGGCTAGGCAGGTGTTGAACTCCAACCATCCCTTTCCTTTGGCTGTCGACCACTCATGGCATCAATGGCCATGAGTGATTGCATGGCAATGGATGGCCAGATTTGGCCAAGGAATTTCCTTAAAAACTTATTCCCCTCTCTACCTTCTTCTCATTCATTTCATTTAAAACAAAACCCATAGCAAATCGGGAGAGATAGAGAGTACTGGTGAGATAAAAGTTGTGATAGCCGAGTGTGAAGTGCGAGCTGGTAGCGAGGGGGAAGCCTGGTGCGAACAGTGAAGGCATCCTTCTTCTGTTCCGATCTTAGGGAGCCCCTTTCCTTTAAAATTTGTTTATCTTCGATTCTTAGTACTCAAACGTCATTCTTCTAGCTTCTTAGCCCCAAAACTTGTAGTAATCTCACAAAACCAAAGTCTTCTTACTCTAGTACTTGCCATCGCGACTGTGCAGGTAAGATTCTGGTTTCTGCTAAATCCCATTCTTAATCTCTATTCTTTTTACAATGTTAGATAGTTAGTAATTGAATAAGCTCTTAAGATGTTAGGAATTTGTTAAAAATCGACTTAAACATATTTAAACACTCTAACAATCTGGAATTAATTTCACCTTCCTGCAACAATATCGTGTGTTGCAGAACCTTCTTTCAGTCTTCAAAACTCGACTGTTTTCTTATGTTTTCCTAGCTCAAATCTGTAATTTCTTTCTAGGTAAGATGGATGATAATGTAGTAAATGCAAATATGGATATTTTTAGCTTACATTACATTCGATAAAACCTTTTAAATTAAAACCAAAGTGGCATTTGAAATGAAAAAGGTGAGTGAATTCTCATTTGCATTTTTTATGATTATATGAACTGTTTTAATTGTTTCTATTGTGGAATGTTGATGTTTAAATGCAACAAATGATGGGAATGATATTTTGAAAACAGAAAATGGGAAAAGGACGATGACAAAAGCCAAATTGCTTATGTCAAACGTGTTAGGCACCAATGTGCTGCTGCTGCTGTGCACTCACAACCCTACCATGCTATTCCGCACAAGGGGGTGATTTCTGAGCATTCAGAAATGTCGGGAAACATCCCTAGCACAATGTTGTTAAGCAGTTCTTGTGCAAGTTGGGTGAGAGGCTCGGTCAGGCATTCCCCGAATGCTAACAGAGCTGTGCGAGTGTACAGACACATCGTGTCTGGCACTATGTGCACATTCGTGTGCAGGGACGTGCGGGTGTGCCACTGCATATCAGCCCATGCCCTACGGGCCAGTTGCCTTATCTAACAGGCCAGTGGGCCATGCTGGCCGGACAGGCAAAAGTTATATCGAAGGGCCTTCGTGAAAGCCACTGGGCGATGACCCAGCAAGAGAGATTTTCTCTCGGGTTGTACAAATTGGATAGATTGGAATTTTCGGAAAGAAATTTTAAAATTAATATAATTGGAGAATTTAAAAGGTATAAATTGAAATGAAAATTGGGAAGATTGGTATAATATGAAAATTATAAGGGATTGGAAATCTAAAATTGATCTAAAATAAACAAACTAAAAGACAATAAAATAAACAATAAAATAATTAAAACATTAAAATTAGAAACAAAAAAAGTAAAATAAGTAAATAATAAAATCTACTTAAAAACTAAATAAATAATCAATAAGAATTCAAACATTCACTAAATAAATCGGGTAAATTAATATAAAATTTATAAAAAAATTAAAGAAAATATTAAAGAGTTTAAAATTTAAATAATAAATAGTTTAGTTAAATATGGTTTATTGACTTTCTTAGAGGGATATTAAGATTAAGAGGAGAGCCGTTAGACTTTGGGTGTGGTATTGGGTTCTAATTTGAGATCAGGTTTAGTAGTTTGAGAATTCTGAATTGATTGCTATTTATGGTCTTGGGGCTCAAGAACATGAATGATGGTAATCAGAGTGAAAATTATGGGATGACGAGTGGAGAGTATTGAATGATTGTATGTACTTTTTTTTATGTAATTGTATTGTAATTGATTGATTTTGCTCCCACCCTTACTTAAATGGTGACCTGGTACCTTCTTTAGAAATAGTGTAAGCGGCTGCATACGTAAGATTGTAATAAGTGAAACTTAATCTATATTCAAAAACCGACAATAAAACTTGAAGATGTGTCTAGTCCTATGTGTGTGAGAGAGAGAGTTATATAAACCCATTAAATACGGTATTGAGCACATATTAGCAATTGTGTGGTTATAGTAAAAATTGTATAATGTGGGAATTATGGTTTATTGACATTGATATAACACTATTTTTATTTAATTTTGCTTTAAGAAAATATTTTCAAATCATATTTGTGTGACTTTAATATTACTTATCTTATTAAAGTATTAAAAATTCACCCAAATCCAACCCCCCAGAGATGCAGGTTCTAATAAGTATATTCAGAAGCATTGCCTAGATTCCTCTAAGAGGATTGGTTATGGGAGTATACTATGTAATTTGTTTAACTTTTAGAAGCCAATATATTTTTATATATAGTTTATCTCTTTATTTATAAGTAAATATAGATAAGCTTGTTGGTCTCATAATATAGTTTTTGTATTTTGTATTGATATGTATAGTTCTATTGCTATGTATATATTCTCTTTATGTCTATTCTATTAAACGTTGGTGCCTTGTTTTGTATCAAGGCATCACAGGTGTCATCAAAGCAGATTCTAGAAACGTCTCATACAATTGAGGCTTAGAGTTAGGTTTCCTCATATTAAGATACTATCCTATTAAGTTATTTGAAACCTTAGACTCATTATGAATATTTTATTTATTTTTAATATCTCTTTCCCTTTTGTAGGCAATACACCACGGGGAAGGCCACCTACAGAGGGACCTGACAATGTCCCTAATAGGGCAGAGTTTTCTGAGGTACTTAGGGTTATTCAAGGTTTGGCCCATGTTGTGGATCAGCAGGTGCATCTACAACAAAATATTGATTGTCAGTGCCTAGTTAATGATCAAGCTGCACAAAATGAGACCACTGCCAGTAGTATTTCTGAGTTTCGGGAGCTCAATCCATCAGAATTCGATGGTCGTCTTGATCCCATGTTAGCCGAGCGATGGCTTATACAGATTGAGAAGATTTTCTCTGTACTTGATCTGACTGATGAATAGAAGGTCCCCCTTGCTAGTTTTGTTCTTGTTGGTGAGGCTGAATATTGGTGGCGCCTCAAACATGATACCTTACCTACTTTTATCACTTAGGAGAGGTTCCTCAATGCTCTTTATCAGAACTTTTTTCTGGTCTAGGTCTGTGAGAAGAAAGAAAATGAGTTTCACGAACTCAAGTAAGGCGACACGTCAATTAGTAATTATGCTGCCAAGTTTGTACAATTGTCCATATTTGCACCTAAGTTGGTCTCCACTGAGATCAAGAGGGCCTGACGATTCCTAAAGGGTCATAGAGCAGATATTTATGACCGTGTGGCTATGTTTAAGCCAAACACTTATGCTGAGGTCCTTGACGGTACTCAATTAATATAAGAGTTACTTTATGCTCTGTTCAAACAAACTAGTGGTTCTAGGCTTCTTGATCATCTGAAGAGGAAGCAACCATCTCAGGGTCTAGTTGATAAGCGACCTAGAGTTACTCTTATTACTACTCCACCATCAACACGTATTGTTACCCTTTCTGGCCTATTTATAAGTAGTGTGGAAATAGGCATGGTGATTGTCCCTATTATAAGGCCACCAATGCCTATTATAATTGTGGTCAGACTAGTCATTATGTGAAAGATTGTCCCCAAGCAATTCGTAAATTAGTTTTTAGGGGTCATGTATTCCAAATGGTAGAGCCAGATGCAAAGGTTACATTAGCCGTCATTGAGAGTACGCTTTCTATCTCTGACTCTTTTATCATGCATATAAATTTTAATTGTCAAATTAGAATTTAAATTTAAAACACAAGCTTCCGATGTCAAACAGGTTCAAAGATGTCACAAAAATAATGGCCACGAGCTCAAGGTCATGCTTAGGGTAGTTGAGTTCATGTGTTTTTAATTGTCTAAATTTGTGAGCAACTACTTTACCATGTTTTTATAAGTACACAACTCAAGTCTAGGCAAGAAGCATCATAAAAAACTATGAAACCACCAAAGCCATCAAATAAAAAATAAGGGAAATTGGGGAAGGCATCCTACGGGCAAGTCTCACGAAAAACAGCATGTGGTTACATGCATAAACACGCAATCCTGCACGCTCGTGAGCTTGTGCGATTGCCTGTCTGAACACTAGTGGAATAGTGCCTGCACTCGCTCGAACAAAAGCTACCTACTATAGTGGTCGTCTGCTCCTACCACCATTTGGCAACCATGCACAACCTCCCTCAACAGTCGGTCGGCCACTAAGGCCGATGGATGGCCTAAAATGCATACATGTGATCTAATGGA